TGTTCTCATGAACGCAGGGCTTATTTTCAGTTCGGAACGTCGCGGCCGATTAACACCCATGATCCTCGAGTACCACGAAACCCTCGAGAAGGGCAGAGCCGCAGAGGAAATATCAGAGCGCAGACGATAATGGGGAAGTCGGACGCAAGAGGAGAGGGAACAATAGGACCAAGTGGGCCAATGCCCTCGACGATTTATGTCGATTATTGTAAAACTGATTAAGCAATGAATCCTCTGCGTCGCTCTACTCATCGTTTCGTGACGGTGATTTATCCTCTGTGGTGTCTCACTCCTTGCGGATCGAAACTCTTCCATCGGGCTGCTTATCGATTATAACATCGCTTACTAATTATTCATAGGGGTCAAATCTCACCTTTAAATTATACACGGAAATTTATATGTAAATATGCGCGCGTGCATGCGCATGAAACGGTAAAGGTGGCATTTACAACTATCAAACGAATTCGCTACTGTTAATTGACTTAAAGAAGAAAATAACGTTCTATACAAAGTAATTAATACCGTCATTAGAATGCTTCCATCTATGAATCACCCGAGATTGTAATTAAGGTTCCATGGAAATTTTTACGTTTTATAATAGAATTTTACGCATTTTCGACATAATTGTCGTTCTAACGTACATCGCTAGTGCCCGGAACGGAAGACTCTCGTTCCATAGATCAAAATAAAAAAATTTATAACCCTATAGTTTAACATAATTCCTCTTTAAATTGGAATAACGTTTAATTTGTAATATAAAAAGTGGTTATTTAAAGAAAATTGCGGTCGTTAGCAATGAAAAAAAAAGCTATATCTTCGCCTATTGGATTTACATTGTCAACGCATTTATATGGAATTGATATCTTTAAACAAAATGATAAAAATATCTCCATGGCTATATAAAAATTGTGTGTCGTTGTTTTTTCAAAACACAATCTATTTTTAATTGAAATAAAATTTAAACACTTAAATAATATTCCCGAACAAAAGAAACTACAGTCATTCCAAACAATAAGAATTTTACAATTTTGTCGCAATTATATTATTGTATAGAGAATAATAAGTCCATAACGGAACGAATAGACAAAACATTAAAATAATTACATATGAAAGTATAATAATGAAAACGGTGTCCTATTGAAATATCTAATAGTATTTCAAAATAAATTCCATGTAAATGAAAAATCGAGACATTTTTCATCCTATTTGAACTTATTGCATGCGGTTTTCATTAAAATGATAAAATAATGACCCGACACTTTTATGATCCTTTAATGGCATTTCGATTATTTTATAAACATGCAGCAAACACCAGGAGCGTAATAAATAAAATTCACTAAATTAAAAATGGAATAAAACTTAAACAGAAAAACACACGCCTCACACGTATGAATATATTCACACACAAATTTGTATATATATATATATATATATACTTATATAGACATGCATAATACAGTACAACTCGCTTACGTAAATTATAATATATGTATGAATTTTATAAATGAATAAACTTTTAGATAAAATATAAATTTAGCTTAAATAGTTGATTAGATTATTCCTTTTCCAATGTATTTAACGCGCTATATAAAAATCACTTGTTTTATTTTACTTTTTTTAATTGCTAAATTGTTGATGAATTTTTCGTATTTCCGATTATGAATTTTAAATTATGAACAATTTAAGTGTAACGTAATATACATACATATATATATATATATATATATATATATATATAAAATTCTTCCGAGTAATTTCATCATTTAAAATAATTTACAACTAATTTTCATTGCGTGTAAAATGTATTATTTATAGCTTTTCGATAATTCATGAGTAATTTTTAATATACGGAATTAATAAAAAATGTTTAAAATAAATGATGTCTTGTTTATTTTTAATCGAATCATCAAAACTCTTCTTGAAAGCAGGTTTGCGTAAAGTAAATAAATCCAAAAAAAGCTATTATCCGATTTATTAAACATTCAGAAATATAGATCGTCTATGCAAAGAAAAAATGAGCAAACAATCGATTACATAAAAAAATAAGCTGGTACTATGGAAAATAATGGTCGTAAGCGTAATTTATAAAAAAAATATATATATATATATATATATATATATATATATATATAATATTCCTTGATTGTCATTGGCATCTGGATTCATTGATGATACTTATTTTTCGATAATATGAATTTTTATATATTTGTTTTGATGATCAACCTTAAAGCCTAATCAGTTTGTTCTCATCGTGCAAATTTCGGAACATAAAGAAAATATTTTAAATTGAACGTCTTAATAGTTTGAAAAGAATTTTCCGGCAAAAACTCGTTTTATTTTTCAGTTTTGAATTGGCTCCATCACACTTTAATTCCGATATTAGCTTTTCACAAGTTGTTCATTAAGAATTAATGAGTATCGTTTAAAAAAAAAATCATATTATTCATGCGTACATTGTGTAGCAGAACAAATATCCAAATATTGTGTTTCGAAGTGAAGAAAAGAAAAAAATAGTTTATATTATCTCGACAGTATTATCGTCGATTGAAATGTCATCAAAAACTTATGCTTCACAAATTGCTTATTAAAAGTGTCACGATAATAATTATTTCTTAGTATAAAATTGGTAAGTCGTCAATTTAAATGAATTATCTAAAGGATTATTTATAAAGTATTAGTTTCGATGTTACGAATAAATGCATTTACCGCCTTATTATTTTCATCTTTTATTATTTGCTGCAAGATATCAAGTGATTGCGCAACTTGCATTAAAACCATGAAACTATAGGATTAAATGGTTATCCGAATAATGGATTTTGTCGATGAAGGGAGAAAAATACTTGGAATAGCGAGAAAACTTAATTGACATGTCGTCCACCGCGACGTAATGCAACATAATATGATTTCAGCTACACTTCGGACGATCACATTATTACTTCCGTACATTGATAAAAACGACAGTATATAAGCCAATGACGCATAAATCGTAATATTTACAAAATATTAACATAGAAGCAGTAAATGTTGTAAAATGCTAAATTATATTATAATAAATTATGGCGCAAATATAAAGTTTATAATGTCTTGCAGTCTAGTGGCGAAGATAGTGATTATTACTAAAATGCGAGATAAATCGCTCTGGAATAATTGACGAAGTCTGTGCAATAAAGTTAAGCGAAAGAGTATACGAGAGCAAATCGTTTGACATCACAAATCTTTACAATTGACTCCGGCTATTATATAATGCAACATTGAAAAGCCTTATTTAATTTATGATATATTATATACTGTGCATTGAATAAATTGCAACAAACATGAAAAGAAAAAAATCAAGTCTGTATTATTTACAGCAAATTGATCGTACCGCAAGTGCTTCTCCTCAAATCAAGTATTGTAAAATCGACCTTTATAAGACCGAGTGAGGAGCTTATAGCCTATAGGCTATAGTACACGTCGATCGACAAAACAGACACCGAGCACACAGCGCACCGAGAGCGAGAACGATGAGCAGCAGGATTAAGCAAGTGTAAAGGAGAAAGAAGAGAGAGATGCGAGAGAGATGCGAGAGAGAGAGAGAGAGAGAGAGAGACAGAGGGATGTAGAGAGAGAGAGACAGACAGACAGACAGACAGACAGAGAGAGAGAGAGAGAGAAAGAGGTTGGAATAATGCTTTATATAGCTAGAGTATAAGACGTAGGTCAGGGAGCGAGACAGAGAGTTTCGCGCATACATCTCTTCTCAGCAGCCATGTTTGCAATGCCGGGACAAGCGGTTCGTGACTCCCACTATCCGCTCGCTACCCGCCGCGCACCTCAACCTCCGCAACTACAGTCGCGGCCTCGGGGCAGCGATAGTGTGGTGGTGCTAGTACTAGCGGTGGTGGTGGTGGTGGTCGCCGCGGTGGTGGTGGCGGCGGCGGCGGCAGTAGTGGTGGTGGTGGTAGTCGCGTCGTCGTTGCCGCCGCCGCGAGCATCGTCATCGCCTAGCAGTGTGCGTGCGCATTTCAACACAGGTCTCTCCTGTGCACGAGTCGGCTCGACTCACTGTGTGTGGTAAGAACGATCGAGCAGCCGAGCGCGGGAAAGAAAGAGATAGGACAAATAGATAGATAGAGAGAGCGATAGACAGAGCACCCGTGAGGACGGGAGGGCGAGAGGAACCGGGCAGAGTATCGCGGCTCGCCGCTAGCGGACCACCCGACGACTGTCAGTGGGTGCGAGTCTGCGAGTCCAGCAAGTTCAGCATCGCCGCGGCGGTCGTTGTTGCGCTTCGTAGTTTCGCTCCTCTTTCGTGTAGTCCGTGGCTTGCTGCTGCTGCCCATTGCCAGCCGGGCGCTGCCATCCCTCTCCCCGATTCAATTCGCTCCCACGGGAGAAGCTCGAGATAGGTGGAGGGTCCAGGAAGTCGAGGAGCAGGCAGCGTTGGACGAAGGGCGAGGGCGTGCAGAGACAGCAAGAGTAGGAGAAGTAGCGGTAGCCGAAGCGGCGGGCGAGCGAGCGAGCGATCGATCGATGCAGCGAGGAGGCGATACCCTCGGTCTTCCTGCCACTTCTGCCGCTAACATCGTCATCGTCGTCGTCGTAGTAGTCGTCGCCACCGCTGCCGCTGCCGCTGCCGCCGCCGCCACCGCCACCGCTGCTGCTAGTGCCGTTGCTGAGCCGAGGAGCTCCTAGCCAGCTACCCGCGGTCGTCCAGCGGTAGCTTCATCTCGTACTGACCGCCCGCCAAGAGACTTAGACCCCACCCCGCTCCCCGGTGCCTATACGTCTATTTTCGAAGGGAGGAAGTCGAGTCGCCCGCGCGCTCCCAGAGGCACGTGTGCAATTGTGGTGTCGTAACGACGGCGGCGTAGCGGGAACGAGAGGACCAGCCACCCTTATCGTAATCGCTAATCGCGGGGAGCCGTGAAGAGGGATACGGACGGTGGTCATAGTTTCTACTTCCCGAGTGTGGAACGTCTTCGGCTACGCAGCTTCTGCCGCGATCCAGGAAAATCGACGGCCACGCGGAAAAGAACCAGCAGGAGGTCGAGACTTAGAACGAGGACCGGAAGGCCCCGGTGGAATGTAAGTATTGGTCGTCGAGTGGGCGCGCGCACACCATTGCGAAACGTCGGACGTTTCTGGAATGCTAGCGAAGGGAGAGGGATACAAGGGGCGGGGTAGAGATGGAGGGGAGGGGGGGGGGGCAAGTGCGCCCGCTGCCCCCCGGCCGGCATCGCCAGAAAACGTCGGCCACGATCCGCGCACCGAGAATTGCATATTTAGCGGCCCGAGAGCGTTTATTCTTGCGCTGCGCGCGCGCGCGCGTTTACGTGTGCGTGCGTACTTTGGCGCTGAAGTGTCTCCACCGAGGAAGAGCG